ATACCACCTTACTCCTGTCAGAATAACTAAAATCAAAAACACCAATGACAGTTTATGCTGGAGAGGATGTGGAGAGAGGGGAACAATCCTCCACTGCTGGTGGGAGTACCAACTCATACAGCCACTTTGGAAATCAGTATGGGGATTCCTTAGGAAAATGGGAATTAGTCTACCACAAGATCCAGCAATTCTACTCCTAGGCATATACCCAAAAGATGCACATTCATACATCAAGGACATCTGTTCCACTATGTTCATAGCAGCATTATATGTAATAACCAGAACCTGGAAGCAACCTAGATTCCCCTCAACTGAAGAGTGGATACAGAAAATGTGATACATTTACACAATGGAGTACTACTCAGTGGGAAAAAAAATGAAATCTTGAAATCCGCAGGCAAATAGATGAAACTAGAAGAAATCATCCTGAGTGAGGTAACCGAGTCACAGAAAGACAAACATGGTATGTACTCACTCATATGTGGATATCAGACATAGAGCTAAAGATTACCAGCCTACAATCCAAACCTTCAGAGGAGTTAAGAAACAAGAAGGACCCTAAGAGAGACATACATAGTCCCCTGGAGAAGGGGGGAAGTGACAAGAGCTCCTGAACAAACTGGAAGTACAAGGGAGGGGAGAGGGAGTTAAGAGAAAGAGGGGGGAGAAGAGGAGGGGGGGAGAGACCATGAGGGATCTGGAAGATTGAGTCAGGGGAGGAATAGAGGAAAGCAAGAAAAGAGATATCTTAATAGAGGGAGTCATTATAGGTTTAAAGAGAAATTGGGCACTAGGGAAGTGTCCAGAAATCCATAAGGAAGACCCCAACTAGAATCTAAGTTGCAGTGGAGAGGCTACCTTTAATGCCCTTCCCTTATAATGAGATTGATGACTACCTTAAATGCCATCCTAGAGCCTTCATCCAGTAGCTGATGGAAGCAGAAACAAAGATCTACAGCTAAACACTGAGCTGAACTCCTAGAATCCAGTTGCAGAAATGGAGGAGGGATGAGTAAGGGGTCAAAACCTGAACAAGTGGGAGCTCTTGGACCTCAGCCAGATAGCTATCTTGTTCAGCTGTCTCTGTGGGTTTCCCCAGCATGGGGATTCTTGAATTAGCTATGAGTTATTATTGTGAGTTGCTCCTTTAGCTTGGATACTGTGACATTTCCATGTTAGGGATGTATACACCCGTCTAAAATAACACCTGCATGCTGAGATCTCTGCTCTCTCCCCCTCCTTCCGGTTCCTACTGCAGCTCCCTGGCTTTTCTGCCCATCTTTCCACTTGCCCACCGTCAACATTCTTCTCCCTGCGGATGTCAGCGAAGTCCTTAGCACTCCAGCCACACTCTGGGAGGTCCTTGGAGCTTTGCCCTAGCCGGTCCCTGATCACCAGCTGCTGCTCTGGATCCAGATAGCCACACTGGCGTCCTCTCTCGCCGTTCCTGGCACCCTCCCCTGACTTCTCTATGTAAAGATTTCAACTCAGTCTTTGCTCTTTCTCCTCCGCAGCCCTCGCCACCTTCTAAGTGCTGACTCTTCACCTTCCCCTCTCTCTTCACCATGGACCAACCGTTCCCTCTTGAACACGCAGCCTGCGCAGCCACGCACACAGTTGTGCCTGAGGAAGGACCGCTCCCCCACCCCTCCCCGGCCAGGTTTAATATTTTGCTCTTGTGGTCTTTAATTTTCAGGAAGTCTTTGACTAAAGAAGCCCACAATTTGAATTTGCATGCTTCATCCTCATTTAAAGTTAAGCCCTTGCAAGAGACTCATCTTAAGCTTGGAAAAGTCGGGGATCTTTGTCTTTTAGACCGAGACAAACCTGCTCACAGTTGTCGTTCTGTAATGTGAGTAGTTTGCCCTTTTAATGCCTACCTAGTCTGCTGTTGACCACAATTTATTTAGCCAGATCCCTATGGAACAGTTTCTATTACAAAAATCTGCCGCAGTGAATAGCCCTGTGCGTAATAAAGCTTAGTACCCTTGAGTGGTTCGGTTTAAATACCTCTGAAGGAGCAGTACATCATGGCTCCTGCTTCTTTTCTATTTCTGGTGACACTAATACTGGGAATATGTACACTGCCGTTGGGAACAGCTGTTTTCAGCTAAGTGCTTGCAGGTCTTGCGGAGCCATTGATGAGTTTCCCAGCACAGCCGAAAGACTGACCCGGATGGCTCACAGCCTCAGGTGCACAGTGAAGCCACGCGGGGGAGGGAGCTTCAAAAACCACGGTGGCTTGGCCCTCTCGGGGACTGGGACAGAATTGGTCTGACTGCAGCCTGGCCACGAAAGGTTCCTGGTGATTCCATCAGGCAGAGTGACTTTAGCTTCATGGACGAGGGCGATGGAGTGCGACGCTTTGCTTTCTCCTTTGGCCGTAGGGGGGTCTGCCCTCGCCTACTGCAGCCCCTCACTTGCACAAAGGAGAGACAAGTATGATGGTTTGTTTTCAAACCTTCTGAACTGTAAAAGGCTGTCACCCAAATATAAACCGAATATGGAAGTGGGTATCAACTGTCAATTGTTTGATATCCTTACTGTGACTGAATTTATTCTATAGTAAAGGCAGCCGAGAGGCGCCTGCATGTGTCCTCAGAGGCAGCAGGGTTGCACTGAGCTTTGGCAAAGGTTAACTTCCGCTTCCTTTTTTTTTTTTTAAGAGTGTTGCCAAACCGGGCATGGTACCGCACTCCTTTAATCTCAGCACTTGGGAGGCAGAGACAGGCCGATGTTTGAGTTCCTGACCTGTCTGGTCTACAAAGGGAGTTCTAGGACAGCCAGGGCTGTTACAAAGAGAAATCTTTGCTGGAAAAACAACTACAAAACAAACAAACAAAAAGCCTGGAGGAATACTTCAATGCTCTTATTTAAATGGAACACACGGCATGTTAAAACGGAACAAGAAAGAGACTATTAAATAATGAGCAGTTTGATGTGATGAGAAGACTGCAGTATTTTTCTAGCACATTCTTTCTTTCCAAAGTTTTTCTGAGCCTCCCACTCTCCCCAGCCTCCACATGTCACTACTCTGAGCCAAGACTTTGACATGAGTGAGAGTGGTCAGTGTATACTACATACATATGTGAAATTGTTTAAGACAAATTTAATTAGTAAAAAATATTGAGCATTTTTTAAAGATTGCTTTTTAAATTTTTATGTGTACGTTTGTGAGCCTGAGTGTTTGTATATGCACCAAATGCATTTGGGTGCAGTAGAGACCAGAAGAGGGCATTGGGCCTCCTAGAATTGGATTTAAAGGCAGTTGTGAGCCACCTGATATGGGTGCCAGGAACTGGACTCTGGTCCTCTGCAAAGATCACATCTCTGCATGAGTCATCTCTCCAGATCCTAATTAAGCATCTTAAAGTTTAAAAATTGTGTGAGACTAAATAAGCAGAATGTGGCATTTCTCTAACCAAGACGAAAGTCAAGTTTTTAATATGAGAGGAACATTCTTGAGATCATGTTGCTATTAGTAATGTCATTCCCATAGCAGATCAACTCACGTGACTTACACTTGTCTAGACTAGTGCCCCAGGCCAGAACTCACCACTGATATTAGTAGCTCTAACTAGCAACCAGATGGGAACTCAAAGATTCATCTGATGAGATGGGAAGATGGCTCTGTGATAAAGTACTTAGCACCCAGGCATGGAGCATGGGGTGGGAATCCCCAGAACCCACATACAAAGCTGGATGTATCATCGAGTGACTGTGATCCCAGCGCTGGGGAGGTGGAGACAGGAGGCGTCCTGGAGCTCTCTGGTCAGGCAGTATAGCTAAGTGGAGAGTTCCAGGTTCAGCCAGAGGGTGTCTCAAAAAATAAGGTGGAGAGAGAGGACAATAGTCAGTGGTCACACACACACACACACACACACACACAGAGAGAGAGAGAGAGAGAGAGAGAGAGAGAGAGAGAGAGAGAGAGAGAGAGAGAGAGAGAGAGAGAGATTGTTTATGGAGCAGGGCAGAGTCTCCTCTTGCAAACTAAAGTGTGACTGATTAAACCCTTTATTGCCTGAATATATAGCTGCATCCAGAGCAGTTTGTTTACAAGTGTGTATTGAGTGGCTACCATTTTTGCAGGCCATGGTACTGGGTGTTCGTGTCAAAATGAGGAGGTGAGGCAATAAAATTCCTACAACCCTGAAGTTCAGAGTCTGGCAGGAAAGCCAGACACTGGCTAATTGAGTTTCCTTGTGGTAAGAGTTCTGGAGGTGTATGCGGTGTCCTTGAATGTCTATGCTAAAGAAGCTTCATCTAGACAGGCCAGGAAGGGAAGGAAAGAAACACGAGCTCTCCGCAGGGAACTCAAGGCGTGGGCAAGGACTTCAGCGAGAGGCCAGGGTAGCTTTCCTGAAGGAAGGGAAAGCCTGGAAGACTGCAATAGGGAAACACAGAAGCAAGACTCAGAGTCTGTCTGAAAGCTTAAGGAGAGACTCATTGTGTATGTGGAGTGGTTTACAGAGGATCAAGCCCTCCAGTGATTGCTAAAATAATTCCCATAAAAGAAGCAGTGAGGAAAGCCCATGTCCAACATCCAGAGAACACCAACACCTATTAGAGGAATCACAAACATGTGAAGGGGACATCATGGAGATGTCTGCAGAGGAAGTATTGTCTTAATTCTTCCCATAAGAGCCAACATTTGGGCTCTAAGGAGCCTGCTGAGGCTGGGAGAGCTTCACTGCCCCTGGCTGGTCTGTTTGGAATCTGAACACAGCTTCACGTTCCTGAAGGAAGACAGACTTAGTAAATGCACCCTGTTGTGAGTTCCATGAAGTCACTGTTGTGGATTTCTTTGTTTTACTCTCAACCTCTTTGAGTTTTATTTAAGAAAATCAGTTTCACAGGCTTTTATTAAAATTATTAACTTGATATAGTCTGTCTGGTTTCTTTATACTACTCTTCATTTTTATTGTGAATTTATTTCTCCTCTCATACAATAATTCCTGACTTCAGTTTCCCCTCCCTCTTCTCTGTTTTCCTCTTTCCCCTCTTCCCCAGATTCACTCCTCCTCTGTTTGCCTTCAGAAAAGAGCAGGCCTCTCAGGGATACCCACAGAACAAGGCATAACCATTTACAATAAGACTAGGCAGAAATCCTCAGATCAAGGCTGGGCTAGGCAACCCAAGTAGGAGAAAAAGAATCCTAGGAGCAAGCAAAAGAGTGAGAGACACCCCCATTCCCACTGTTAGGAATCCCACAGAGACACCAAGCTAACAGCTATAACATGTGTGCCAATTACTTTCCTTTTTGGCAAATTTATTTCTTCACTCTAGATTCCATTGAAGCAAATGAAAAGGTCTGTTTTCCCCTATTAATGAAACACAGTTTAGATGTTGAGGAAAGTATTCAGCATGTTCCACTCCTGCATCAGCAACTAGGTTCAAATGCTGAGAAAACATATGATCCACTATAGAACTTAGAGCAAAAAGAATTTCATATTCCTGGGACTTTACACTGCCTTTGGTGGAGGCTAGATGGAGGCCTCAATGAGAATATAATTCAAGCTCTGAGTAAACAGAAGAACTATGAAGCAACAAAGGACTTAGTTACTGTTGATGATACGAGCAGTACATCGTACACTAGGTGTGTGTGTGTGTGTGTGTGTGTGTGTGTATGTGTGTGTGTGTATGTGTGTGTGTGTATCTGTGTGTGCAGGTGCATAAACCAGAGGACAATAATGGATGTCACTCCTCAGAGGCTGTCCACTTTTTTCTTGTCAAGTATGTGGAGCTGGCTGACCACGGAACCCCAGGCATCTTCCTACCTCCAACTCCATAACACGGAGATTTCGGTCACTTGCCGATGCTCGCATTTTTGTGTGTGCTGGAGATCAAACTCTGGCTCTTGTGCTCTCACAGCAAGAACTTTACTGACTGAACCATCTCTTCACATCAGCTGAATTGCCCCAAAACAACAGATAGAGTATATGGGAAGCACTAATTGGACTCTGTAAGTTAAAAAAGAAAAAGTGACTTTAATTCCAGCACTCAGGAGGCAGAGGCAGGTGGATCTCTGAGTTAGAGGCCAGCCAGGTTTATAGAGTGAGTTCCAGAACATCCAGGGATATACAGAGTAACCTTGCCTCAAAAAATTGAAAACAAGAGGAGGAGAGGACAGGAAGCTGGGAAGTGTGGTTGGGCAGATCAGGAGAAGTTAAGGGAAGGAGCGGAGGTGAATGTGATCAAAACACATGGGGTGAAATTCTCAAAGAATTAATAAATACTATATATTTTAAAACCCTCCAGATAGCACAAGATACAACATCCCCTTGACCATTGCCCTCCCCAGTTCCAATCCTCTCCTAACTGGGTAACTATCCCAGACACCTCTGCTTAGATGTCAGTGTCTCAAAGCACTTGTGTTTGACTGTGCACACAATTTTGTCTGTGGAGTCTTAAGATGCCAAACTGTGATGTGCTTCTTGCTCAGACGATCTGTGTTTTCTCCTGCTGGGTACATCATGCTGTTTCTTGCCTACCTTACCTTGTACTCGTTCTGTTTTGTTTTCTGATTTACTTAATTGCTGAGTTCTGTAGTGCATTAGTCTTCTTAGGTTGCTCTTAAAGACTACCACAGAGTTGGCGATGGGACAGACACTTATTTTCCAACACTTCTGGAGACCAGAGGTTCAAGGCTGAGGTGCCAAGGTTGGTTTCTGGCAAGGGTTCTCATCCTCACTTGCAAAAGGCTTCTCTGCTGTCTTCACACTGCTTTCCCCTGGCGTCACTTCCTGGTAAGGATAACAGTTCTGTCAGAGTAAGACCTGTCCTTATGATGTCACTTAACCCTAATTGTTCCCTAATTGAACCCTCTGTTCAAATGTAGACACACTGTGTGTAAAGAAATTACATATGTGAATTTGTAAATGCCCAATTTGCCTTTTTATAACACATGGTACAGCTATCCTATACTTATCCTTATGTCCATTAGGAGATAGTTACCCTTATTTTTAAGCTTTAATAAAGCATGATTGTTTCCCCTTGAACTAATAACAACAAGGATTTCTGTCACTTCTGGGGAGGCAGTGGATGAGAAGAAAGACGGAACAGAGGGTCAGAGGCAGGGAGGAGTGAGAGGCTGGTTTAGGAAGGCTGATCGCTACTTGCTCATTCTCGACAGCCCCCAGAGTTCTCAGCTCCACGAGTGGGAGAATTTGGCATTTGAGTATGCAGAGACGGAGGAGGCAGGCAGAACCAGAAATGTCTTATGTAGGCTGCCAACCTTCCCCGAGCATTACCATAGCCAGCAGGCAACCTGAGGAGAAGGAGAGTGCTACAGGCCACTAGCAGACACCCAGCTCCATGGTCAGCCCCCATGCAGATGGATAGTCCAGGGAAGCCATCTCCTTGTGCTAAAATGCGCTGCTGTTTGGAGAACCTTCCGAGACACTGTGTCATCCAAGGCTCACCTTCCCGTGCCAGGAGATGTTCTGGAAAACTCTGTTCACATGAATCAAAGAGAAATGATCCAGGGAAGAGTAAACATTTCTCCCCCTGGTAAATCTGTGACTATAGTTACTAAGGTGAGAGTCTGGGCCCTGGTAGCCCTAACAAACTGGGCCCAGCCACCTGTCCTCAATACAGCGATTAAACAAGAGCAGCAGAAAGCCAAGAATGGAAGCTTACTCAAGGTAACAACATTGAGAAGAGGAATCATTAAAGAAGCCCAGAGACCTCCAAGCCAACCTCTGAGGCTCTGACATGAGGCTTAGGTTTCAGTAGAGAGCAAGAAGTAGGCACATCTTAGCAATCCTGTCATGGTGTGTTCCCCTGATCACTGGCCCATCTGTTTGCCCGGCTTCTGCCTCTCCATCATTGACTTACCGGGTCTGCTTGGCGTCACTCCTTCTTTGACCCATCCGGTCTCCTCAGCTTCCTCCTTTCCTTCATGGTGATCTGAGCAGCTGCTGGAACCCTGTAAAAATCTCTTTTCAAGAGACAATTTCCTGCTCTGACTGGCTCAGGGCTTCAGCCCTTCTGGCATCAGATTCCTGGGGAATTCCAGTTTTCTTTTTTTTGGGGGGGTTGTTATTGTCTCAAGAGTCTGACCCCTCGAAGACAGGGATAGCAGTATTTGTTTAGAATCCCTTCATTCCTGTCAGGGAAGTTACAAATCCACAATGGCTCTCTGGATGTGTAGAGAAGTGGGAAGAAATAACTTTTACATCTAGTCTCATACTTGCGCAAATCAGATGGCCAGGAGACACTTAGGAATGACTGGAGACGTTTTGTTATCAGACTGGGTGAGGGTTTGTGCATCTGTCAGTGTTCCCCGCACGCACAGGTCCTCCTCTTCAGTAGGCACTTGGCCAGCCAGCGTGCCAGCCAAGCGAGGGTGAGAAACTCTGCACTAAACCACAGTTTATGGATTTCCTGGGACCTTGCCCCTGGAAAAACACTGCAAAAATATTAACACTTGAATTTTGTAGAAGATGTGATTTTAGACAAGCATGCATTCATCCCCTAACCCTCACCTTGCTGGAGTGAATGATTCTTTGAAATGGTTAGTGCATCAATCAATTTCCTTCTGTTTAGTAGTTTGTTTTCAGATAGCTCCTAAAACAACCTGTTAAACTCCTTGTCAGAGCACACAGGATTCTATGAGAATAACGGGTGACATCCACAGCTGTCCTGGTTTGGTTATAGATTCCCACTATCAAGTGGCCATATTTAAACCTCAGCCCCAGCTGAAGCTCCACTATCACTCAGAAGGCACACTTTGGAGGGTGCTGTGAGCATTGATGAGTTCACATTGCTAAGGTGCTTTGGAACACACTCACCCTTCTAACTACCATCATTAGGCAGATTAGGCACCTTTTAGACATTACTCTTGACTGTGGTCCTGCCTGTCTCCTCACTTGCTTGAGCAGCTCCTGGGGAGGGAGGGTATCAGAGTCAGCCGTGGCCAACAGCTGAAAAACAGGAACCTTATTTGAGATGGCTAATTGGGAACTCTCCATTAATGATGCGACAAAGAGAAAAATACTCCCAGGGAAGTTAAAATCCCATAGTAGTGATGGAGGACTATTTCTGAAATGCAAGAACCGAGTTAGAAACACCACCATCCTCTCAGGTGTAATCATTTGTCATCTCCGTTTCTTTCCTTTTCTCCCTTGCTCCCTTGCAGAGAGCAGAACCTGATTGGGAGTCTGCTCCAAACACTCGCTTGAAGAAATTCAAGATGTTCTAGTTCCATGCAGACATTTAAAAGATTTGTCATATGTTTAATTGTATGTATGAGAAGGTGCACGCGAGTGCAGGGGACCTCAGAAGCCAGAGGCATGGCATCCCTCTGTAGCTGGGGTTATAGACAGTTGTGAGCTACCCAATGTGGGGGCTGAGAATTGAGCTCAGGTCCTCTGCAAGAACAGTGTGTGCTCTTCACCACTGGGCCAGCTCTCCAGACCCTATCTAGACTTGATTTAAAAAAACAAAAGATTTATTTTATGCGTGTTTTGTTTGCATGTAGGCATGTGCACCGTGCGCATGCCTGGAGCCCACAGAGATCAGAAGAGGGTGCCAGATGCCAAGGAACTGGAGTTATGAATGATTGTGGCTGCCATGTAAGTGCTGGGATCTATAAATTCTCCTTTCTTTATAGTCATAATTCTTGTTGTAGTCATTGTCTACTGCATTTGCAAAGGCCTTCCGGTTTGGGCAAAAACAATTTGAAAAGCACCTACTATGTGTCTGGCACTGTGCTTGGACGTTATCTCATCCTCCAACACCTGTTGAGATAGGTATGGTCTTGTCCAGTTGGTGAATATCAGCATGGACGTGTCCTTGGGGCTACTCTCTTGACCATGGTCACTGAACTGGGAAATGAGACTCATGATCCAATTGTTTCCAAGTCAATGCTGTGTTGCTTCAGCATCTCAAGCTAAGACAAACCTGTGTGTCCTCTTCCCTACCTGGCTTTTGTCCCCCTAGGGGCTGAATAGGGAAGGCAGCACAGGTCTCTGATTTCACATAACAGCAGGAATGACAGGATTGGTACCTTGCCTGTGTTTCCCAGCACCTGAAAACTGGCTTCCAACTGTCTCCTTGACCGCGAAGCCACCTGCGCCACCTACCAGCAGCTGCCTAGTACTGCATCCTTTTTTCTCTGGGGCCCGCCTGGTGAGACCTTCCTGGTTTTTGTGGCTCATGCCCAAACCAGCGCTCTCCGGTCCTCTTGGTGTGTCCTTGTCCCTGGGTAGCCTGTAAGCACTAGCTGCTGCTCTCCAACTTGTGCATTCTTTTCCACCCACATCAATGACTTCATCTTTTCCCAGGTTTACATCAGTGGTCCCTAAACTTCGCTATGGATTAGAATCACCTAGGGAGACTTAAACTTCCTAGACTGTGCAATAGATGAATTAGCCCAGCAGCTCTCATAATCAGGGCATTTTTTTATTTTTTTCAAAGCCCTCTGGGCAATTCTTAAGTGTAGTCAGTCGTGAAACCCAGACACACGAGTTAAGTCCTATGTGTTCTTTGTGAAAACTTAATAAACCTCACTTCTCCTTCCACACAAGGCCTGTCTCTCTACCTGTTTCCAGTTTCCCTCAGACCCAGGTCAAATTTAGCAAGCAAAAATCCAGTCACACTCGTGTTTCCCAAAGGACACATACTGAAAATGCTGGCTGTTTATCTTACATGCCTATTGTGTCACTTCTGACAACCCTGCTAAGGACAGAATGACCTCTTAGCCAGGAAGACCTTCCAGTGAAGCCAGTGGTGTGCCTCGGCTTTTCCTGCCTCCCCCTTCCCTGTTGACTCCTGCCCTGTGCGGCTGAACTACTTCTTACATGTTTTCTCTGCCGCCTCTGTCCATGTTGAATCACTGGGCCTTTGAGGGTTTTACAGCGATGGAACCGGACCCTTCGTGTCCGTGTTCTATATGTCTTCCTCTGATGATCCAGGCTCTGTTATTTCCCAAGATGACCTCATAAAGCACGGGTATGCACTTGGGGCTATAAGGGTACTCCTCTAGGATGTACAGCATTTAACGACTTTTGAGAAGGACTTGTTGGCAGTGTACCAAGTACTGGGGGGCATTTTAAGAAAACCGTGTATTCTGACATGTACACCTTGTCTTTCCCTTGGACTGGAACACCTGATCTTTCTTAACACATTTTTACCCATTCAAAACAGCAGACAACAGGCCTTCTGGAGCCATCCTTGCTGCTGTCCAGGTCTAAAACTCCAGAGACATTTGGTCTCAAGCTCTTTGGGGCATGCTTGTGCAATTCTCAGCTCCCCTGCAACACTCAGTCCCATAGAAGAAAGGAATGTGGGAACCACATTCTGTTCTCCAACCATGGCCATACAGGACTGAACTGAGTGGCCATCAGACTCAAGCTCGACTAATAAAATTCATATCATCAGGAATATGGAGTTAACACTTCAGCATTCCGGTTCAGACACAGAGAAAATAAAACACAGGCACTGGGGGAGATGGCTTGATCATAAAGTGCTTGCCACAGAAGCAAGAAGACCCAAGTTTGCATTCCTAGCACCCACATAAAAATCTGGGAGTGGCAGCATACACCTGTGATCCTAGGGCTGAGGATGCAGAGACAGGAGGCTCCTGGGGCTGGCTGAGCGACCAGCCCAACAAATCACTCAATTCCAGATTCAGCAAGACACGCTTGTCTCAAAAAATGAGGTGGAGAGCAATGGAGAAAGACATTCAATGTGGCCCTCTGGTCTTAATCTTCACATAGAGATGTGCACACACACACACACACACACACACACACACACACACACACACACACGGACACGGACACAAACACACACACACGGACGTAAACATATACACATAACTGTCAGCGTGACACAGCCAGGAGTTAGTTACCTGAGAAGGGAGTCTCAGATGAGATTGAATGGCATGTGGGGATTATCTTGATTATTGGTTGATAATCAGCCTACAGTGGGTGGCACTATCCCCAGGCAGGTGGTCCTGAACTGTGTAAGAAAGGTAGCTGAGTATAAACTGGCATGGGAAAGTGTTAGCAAGCAGCATCCGTCACGGTTCTTGCTGCATCTTTTTCTTTGGCTGTGAAATGAGTTTCTTGGTTGGAAGGAATGCTGTCTGGGATAGCAAACAGGACTTCCTCCATGTTGAAATACACCCTTTCCTCTCTCTGATTGCTTTTGGTCATGGTGGCTGTCACAGCAACAGAACAACCCCCCACCCCCACCCCCCCACCCCCCCGCAAAAAACAATAGGGAAAAAAGTCCACAAGGACATAGGACAGCCACATTCCCCTACATGTTTCCAGAACCTGAGTGAAGCACTAGAACCAGCTCCTGCCTACACTGAAACTGAGAATTGAGGCTGGAGAAGAGGAGAGAGCATTGTCTTGGGCCCTGGCTGTGTTCCAGGTTCTTCATGAAGCCCAGCTCCACTTTTGTGTTTTCTGAGAGGCAGCCACTGTGTTTTCTTTCAAGTGCTGTAGGTTGATCAAGATGGCTTCTGGTTCTTAGAACCAAAGGGTCTAAATGAATACGGTTCCTGTGGAGCTTGTTACAAAAGAAAAGAAGAACTTTTTACCATAGTTTCCAAGTGGAATATTTTATCTAAACCAATCAGGTGACCAAAAGTAAGAACTTGGAGCCTAGCTGGGGCTGCTGGGTAAAGCTGGGTACAGGGGTTCAGGGCTGTGTTTTGGTTTTAGTTTTAATACTAATAATGATTGCTATCATCATCATCATTATTATTGTTGTTGTTTTTTCAAGACAGGATTCCTCTGTGTAACAGCCTTGGCTGTCCTGGAACTCACCTTGTGGACCAGGCTGGCCTTGAGCTCACAGAGATCCGCCTGCCTCTGCCTCCTAAGCACTGGGATTAAAGGTGTGCGCCACCACACCCAGCTGTGTTTTGTTTTCTAATGGGCCTTCTTTTGTTGCTTTTCTTTCTGTAGCTGGACAACTGGACACTTTGGGTGCCATTTCACTTCTTAGGATACTTTATCTCTGGTAAGCCTTAACCTTGTGGCACAAGTGTATTCTCTAACCTTGGAAATAACAGACACTTCTCTATGACATGGTCAAATAGAAGGAAATGACCAGCTGCTTTTAGCTATTGGAAAAATTTAATACATTAGAACATATATCTTCAAAGAATCTGAGGGTAAATTGATTTTCCCCCCACTTCCTCCTGTTCAGTGACAGTCTAACACGGAGAAAGTGTGCCATCAATGAGCTGGTATTGGAGTGTCTGGTGACAGCCGACTCATTGAGGCTCCAGTTAATGGCATCTCTGTACTCGGTGATTTGCCCTGATTACAGTCTTGCTTCAGTGTGACCCTGGCCGAGTCTGTGACTTGCTGCAGCCAAGATGGTGTGGTAGAAATGACAGACTCAGCTCTGAGCTTTTGCCTCTAGAGGCCTGAGCAATCATTTTGTTCTCCCTAGGCTTGCTCATAATTTCTCATAATTCCCTTAAGCTTGATAGTGAGGGCCAGCCCTAGCTAGTGTTTTGATGACAAGAAGTCACATAGAACAGAATTAAATCATTGTAGTCAAGGTCAGTCCCCAGACAGCCTGCCAGCTCTGCAGAGATATGAGCAAGATCATTTCAAATCAGGGGTCCATGAACTTTGGAATAATAATACATGACTGTGTTTGAAAGCAT